TCAAATTCAAAAATGAATTCATTATTTATAAACACACTCTGAAACTGCTCCTCTTCCAGTGTTCCCTATCTTAGCAAATGGCATCAGCAACCCCTCAGGAACTCAGAGTAAACCTCTGGGAGTTTTCAGGGTCCCCTTCTTTTCTCCAGCATCAATTCAATGCAGCACGAAGTTCTGTCTGTTCTACTGCCATATCAAAAACAAAACAAAACAAAACAAAAAAACCTGTCGAGTCGATTGCAACTCATATTGACCCTATAGGACAGAAAAGTACTGCCCCATATGGTTTCCAAGGAGTGGATGGTGGATTCGAACTGCCGACCTTTTGGTTAGCTGCCAAACGCTTAACCACTGTGCTGCCTTAGGGTCTCTCAAATTTGTCGACTGCATTTATTTATCTATTCTTCATTTATTCAATGCCTCTAGGCTGGGACAGGAGTCAGGACCCCAGAGGAAGCTCCCCTGTGGCACAAGCCCCTGGTGTTCCAGGTGTCTACACTAAAAAGAAGCTAAAAGGTGAGGCTGGCTCTGTCCTACTCTGCTCTGCCCTGGAGGGCTTGATGGAATAAAGCCATTAGTGGATCATTCACAAATCACAAAGCTAATCCTTTCAGCTGCTGTTGCTAATAAAGAAAGTGAGGATCAGGAAGATTAAACCACAGCTTCCAAAATCTCATAAACAGAGGCAGTGCTAAAATTCAAACCCAGGCCCTGATTCCAGGCTTCACCTTTTAACCCAATGACATGTTTAGCAAAACTTCCTCAGCACAGTGGCCACGCAGAGATGAATCCCAATTGGTCCCTGAAGTTCACCCAAGGACCCCCCAAGGACCCAGAAGTGGGGGGTGGCGGGAGAAGGGCAGCAAAGGCTTCCTAGAGGAGGTGACCCCAAGCTGAGTAGACACTCAATAAATATTGGTTTAAATAAACGAAGTTAGTAGGTGGAGAAATGGAAGGAAGAGAGAATGCAGGGCCACCTGGGCAAAGGCCCAGAGGAGGACTCCCAGTCCCTTTGCTTGCCTCATTCATTCTTGTGGCATACCAAGGGCTGGGGGGTTGGGGGGCGGGTTGTAGGAGCGGTCTGCACCAGGGCTATGGGAATGAAGGGTGTGTCATCTGTAGACAATCAGATACAACATAATAATATATCCAGCTAAATGTTGGTCTGCTTTTTATTATTGCCATGTGGCGGTAATTTTAAATATCTGTGATAAAATA